TGTGTTTTGAAGTCTGCATGACCTTAACTGCATGGGACCACTATTGTTGCTCTGTGGAGATTGTAGCATTGGTCTTACTAATCCAATACAGGGAATCAAAAAACAAAATGAGAAGATACAAGTTTGTAAAAAAGAAATCTAATTTGGAGGAAGGAGTCTCCCAGAACAATAACAGGTGATGCCTGAGCAAAAGTAATAAAGAGATGGCAGCAGACAGAGATATCAATATGTCATTACAAAGATAAAACGAAGAAAACAAATTTTGAATAAGAAAAAATTGAAAAACAGATAACTTGGAATTGTATGAGTGATTTCACTTATTAGAGTAACTTCATATTAATGAAAAACATCAGTTAGTGCACACTCACTTTTCACATCCCCTTCACTAACTCCCACGTCCTTCCGCTTTGACATTTATATTCACCTGCTGTAACATCACATGTGGGACACACGCTAAACCCCTACCTTTGACAGTCAATGTCCAATCATAGCGAATCACGGTAACAATGCACAGCAGGCCTGTCAAGCTTTAGACTGCTCATAATGTGGCAGAACTATATACTATATTCTCATGTTGCATAATTTATTAAAATGCGGGAACAAAGCTATCCTGCTGTGTTCTGCAATCCAAGCACATGGCTGCTGCTTAATTTCCATGGCTTCTTTATGGATTCTCAACTGGTAAGAGGGCTGATTTGTCCTGAACATTTAGCTTTACATTGTGTTTCGCATCATGATGAAGAGTCACCTGGTCATAATATCTCATTATATATGTTTTTAATATAAAAAAAAAATTTCTAAATATGATGAAATTCATTAAAGCCACAGAGATACAGGAGGTGGGTCTTCACTTTTCCAGCAAATGTCTACATATTTATTGGCTGTAATACTCTGATGAAGTGAATGCCCCTCATATTGATCTATAAGACTAAGGAGTTTGCGGAAACCTGATGTATGTGTCAACTGTAATGTAGGGCTGGACCCAAATCCAGTTTTGAGCCCCGAATATCCACCTGCCCGCCCTAACACAAGTTAGTATTACATGGTATATATTATGTGGTATGCACCTTAACAATTAGTCTCTCAGAATACCCAAGGACCCAGTGTTTCCACTCCTATTTATTTCTACTAATTACTCCTAATTTCCAGCAATGCCACCCTTATAATTGTTAACGTCGACAGGAAAGCCTGACAACCACAACAACCGCAACTTGCTTCTCCCCTGTCTCCAATGCACACCTGAAATCATTTCTACCTGCTGCTATGCTATGCTACCTCAAAACAGAAACCTTTTTTTAGTCTTTAGTATTTTTAGTACTGTGGTTGTTTGGTGTGCATGTTATGGATGTGTTTCTTGATCTGTTAAAATGAGTGGGATCTGACATTGACTGTGATGATGGCAAGGTGAAGAAATGTATTAGTAGATGTTAGGGAGGCAGAGGTGAGCAGGCAGTGGCAGCAGATGGAGACTCTGAGGAAAAGCAGGATTCAGACACCAGTAATTTGCAACCTGCTAATGAGAGCAAAATGAAGACCTGGACATTGTGGTTATGACTGACCCTTTTTGTGACTAATGACAAAAACATGCAGCTTGTTGTTCTGTAACTGGTCAGTACATATTTCTTTAAAATGGTTATTAGATGTCCATAAAAACGAGGCAGACTGTATGATTACTGTTTGGGCAATTTGTGTATCGTCTCATTAAGTGCACGCGTTCATGCATGTCCCGTGGGTTTTCTTTCTGGCCACTGGTGATGATTATAATCCAGGTTATTGGTTAATGCAATTGAACCCAGTCTTGCAGCTATGGGTCAGCACATCCCTGTTATAAACGGAGTGGTTCAAATAAATGGAGTGGGATTTCTATGCTGCCTACATGATATCACATCTGTATAACTCAAAGAATCCTTGCTGATAGTAATGCTGTAAGCCTATGCTGTCATGCTGTTTTCTGCTGTGCAATTAGTAACTGTGGATACATGCATAGTGTGTTGTTCTATATAGTTTTCTCTGTAATCTTACACTGAGGCATGAACACAATGTTCAGTTCACTGAAACCCCGGCACACGCATGATGTCGTACTGATGCAATGGACTGTTATTTTGTTATCATGTTCAATCATTTGGTTCTCAGGTTAAAATGTTTGCCACATACTGTTACTAATTAAGCTCTCCCTCCGTGTGTTCACCAACAACTTCTACTGCTGCCACTGGTGCAAACCTGCCTGAAAGCACGGCTATCTAAGTTTAAATTCATTTAAATGTTCATTACTGTCAAGTAATTAGAAATTACAAATTATATTTAAAATCACTGGACTCACACACACACACACACACATATAGATACGCATGCAATAATAGTGTAAAAACCCACCCACTATGGTTTCCATGGCAACAGGCAGGTAATGGTAGGTACAATAACAGGGTTCTTGTGGTGAAGTGACAGGACATAAATGAAAGGTGGCCAGTCTGTCACTCACCAGGAAGTAAGAGTCATGCAGTGAAGAGGAATATATGAGAGTTAGAGTGTGGAACTCTTGGAAACATGAAAAGAAAGAAAAAATAAATACATAAAAAATCTATTCTATCTCCTTGTTTTTATTTTTGCAATTTTTACAGTCAATGACAAAAAAAAATCAACAGCATGGACAATTTCCAAAAGATCAAAATAGCAGTATAACAGCATAATTTTCAGACTTGAACTTCACAGTTGCCCTGCACTGGCAAAACACACGATTGCACACATGGACACTCATTATCACACGCTTCCAACTCCAAGAATCAATACAAATAGGCCACATTTTCTGCCTGGATAATGATATATTTAATGACCTCCCTCTCCTTTGCTCCTTTTGCTCGCTCTCTTTTTCCTCACTGACTCAATTCACATGCAACCATCTTTCTCACAAACACACAAGCAAACACAACATACATCAATGAATTTATCTTTATAAATATTATTTTCTGAAACTGTACTTGTTTCGTCAAAGACACTGTAGATGTGTTTGCTTATTCCTGCCCTTGTGTGTGCATATCTTAATGCATGAATGTGTGTATTCCTACATGGACGACTCTGGAACTGTAGGTGTGTGTGTGTGTGTGCGTGCCTGAATGATACATCATAGATTGTCAAGTACTGTTTTGGGGGCAGCTGCAGTAGGGGGATAGAAGAACTTCTGACTGATTATTGTGCTGTCGCTGACAGTAAATCAATACATGCCAACACACACACACAAACAAGTGCACACACACTAATCCCCCTCCTCTATAAACAACATAAACACATGCATATCAGATGCACAACGCATGAATGCACTTTATAACTACATCACTCTGTCCATACCAACACACCACTTTTGCTGGGACCTTCTCAATTACTGAATACACACACACTCACACAGAGCCACAAACATACGCACAGAGTTCGGGCTCAGGGCCTCCTGAGGGTGTTGGTGGGCATGGTTGATTGACCCTGCCTCACCAATCTGCCCAGCTCTCTGCCAGAAAATCAACCAATTAAAAGATGCAGGCAACACAGCAGCAAAGGGAGAGGCGAGAGGGGAGGGTGTTGACGGCAGCTGCGATGCTGAATTGGGAAGCAGCTGTGAGGCGCTAACCTGACAAGGCAGGACAGTCAAGCTCTCTCTCTCTCTCTCACTCTCTCTCTCTCTCTTAAGTTTGAGGTGAGGCAGCGGTGTCTGCCTGTATTTTATGTGCTTCATGTACTTTATATGCCTCACTTACAAACTGGTACATATTGACTGCAGAGACAGAAATGTCACTAACTGGTTTTATATATGATGGCTTTATCACAAAAGCCTTCTTATGGCAAGAAACACCCAAGAGTTTAAGAATGCACAATAGATTTTCTTCTGCAGAATCATATTGAATATTTTCATTTAAAGCCAGAATCATGTAAGCAACTGAGGAAGTGAACTGAGATACTTAACCATCAAAGAAGAGTCATTGTAAGAGGAAAACATTGCATTCTAGCTGATTTATCTCTGCTCATCACTCAGGTGTTAAGGCAGTGAGTGAGGGCCAAAGTCCAACCGTTCTCCTTCTATTTAAGCTTTCTCTACTGTGCAGCATCTGGTATAAATACAGGGAGGGGAAAAAGAATTAGAGGAACACATTAACCGAATCAAAAGTAGCACAAAAGCACAAGAACTGCAACATTTTATTGAAATAAAATTGAACTAGAACACTATCTGGGAAATCAGTTAATTTGTCCATTTCTAATCAACCAATTAAATTATTGCTTAGTCTACAAAATGTCAGATTAGTACTATGTGCAGTTTCCAAGAAGTAATGTTGGGGTTCTGAGAAATTGCTTGTTTTGTCTGACAAAAACAGTTCAAAACCCAAACATATCCACGTAATAGTTATAATGAAACTGAAAAAATAAGAAATTCTTCACATTCGCGAGTATAGAGCCAGGAAATGCATAGCAATTAAACTTGATAAATCAGAAATTCCTTGATAGCAGAATGTGTCAGTGTCTGCTACACCACAAGTTGCAGGAAAAAAAAGGGTTCAAAACTTAACCTGACAACCGTTGTGCTTGTTTCCTCACCCTGGATCTGAAAAGTAAGTTGTGTGCAGCAGCTCAGAAATGTGTGAATGGTTTCTATGCATCCAAAACATCTGCGTACTACCAAAGTTGGATCATCCTGACACTCGGAACAGCCAAACCTAGAGACATTAAAGCAGACTGTTTGCCTGTAGCAGCGTAGATAACAGTACATGGCAATGCTGCTGCTTCATATCTGCACCTATCACCAGAATAGCTGTCAGCCTGTCCTGTCTCACTGTCAAAGGCAGGGAGTAATTAGAAATAGGTTGGGAGGGTTCACAGCAGTTTTTATCGTTAAAAATATAGTAGAAGTTACAGCTTACCCTGCGTTTTGTTGCATTCCATCAAAGTCTAATTATGCATTACATCTGAGACACTGAACAACACTCAGGGATCAAGAGTTAAGAAGCATCATGTTTACTCACGTATGTTGGGAGAACTCAGGCGCCTCATCGTTGACGTTCGCCATCCTAATCCGTACTGTAGTTGTGCCCGTTCGAGGCACCTCTCCTTTGTCAATAGCCATAACAACAAACTCGTACAGATGATTAGGTCTCTCGTAGTCCAGAGGTCCCGCAGGGAAGATGGTCCCATGAGGAGAAATAGTGAAGTCTGGGCTCAGGGTGTAATAGGTCAGCTCTGCGTTCTCTTCTGAGTCACAGTCATTGGCTGACACTAAAGAAGACAAGACAGAGAGGAACAGTAGAGAAAAGAAGTTATAGGGTGTAGCTACAGCAAACAGACAACAATGGAACCCCAGAGATCCATTTTGTTATGAAGTATAGACCAGGAGTGATTGATGCTCTCTGATCACCATAACTCTGGCAACATAGTCAAACTGACCTCACTGTCTGTAAAAACTTGTTGGTAACATGACGACAACAACAACAACAACAACAACGAAGTGTTGCATGTTTTGTTCAACCTCCACAAGATGGTGCGATGCAAAGGTTGCTTTACTCGTCAAAAAACGTTCCGTCCATTATTGCTTATAGCAGTGTTTCTCAAAGTGTGTGGCCAGAGGCAATACAGGGAGGGCGCGAGCGACCGGGAGGAAAAGGTCCGTCTTTACGCAGAACCAATGTGCTGAACTATTTTTTCACGTCGGCCCGTTTTTTTTGCTACTGCACAAGTTATTGTGGTTGGAAATGGGAATATTTCTTCCACATTGACTCAGTCTCTCTCTGGCTGACGGATTAAACAGTCGGTTTCGCTGTTTCTGGGGGGCCCAAATCATGGGCAAAGAAAGTTGGTAGCACCAGTGCTACCATTGGAAAAGTTAGTCTGAAGCCCTGTAACAGAATCACCAAGTGCAAGAAACCACATCCAATAGCTGAGGAGCTCATACTATCCACTGCTCCTGATATGGTGTCAACAATGATTGATGAAACAACCACAGCAAAATTGAAGGTTATCCCCCCACGTTACTTTTACTAATCACTGAATCACTGAGCATGTTGTTAAGTTGTTGCACTATTTGACTACTTGTGATATTTATTTAGTTTCATTAAATGTAAACTAGCTCATTTCATGTCTATTTAAGGCAAGGAGGGGATTTTTTGTCCTCCGAAGGGGGGCCTGACAGAAAAATGTTTGAGAACCAGTGGCTGATAGTGTACTCACATGAAATCCATCAGCAGAATTCAAGTACATAAAAAATCCCAAATAAATGAAATTGAAAAAGATATTTTTTAGACGGAGCACGAGGAGTTGGGATATAAAAGAAAATGACATTGAGCGCTAGAGGCTTGGCTTGATTTTTAACAATTTTTTTTCTTTGTTTTGCTGGTTTGTTGTTGGAGCAGCTGTTGACAACTCATTCCAGGAGAGGGTTGGCTTATGAGTTAACATTCTTCAGAAGCTTGCATGTAACTACTTGTTTTAATAACACAGGTAGCAGGGTCTCAAGACATATTTCATAAATAAATACCCACTGCAGCAGGACAGCTTAAGTAAAATTCTGCAGCATTAACAATGGCTATTATACTTTTGTGTATTTCCCTAAGTTAGTGTCCCATAGACACCGATTCTTACATTAACTGAGCAGGACTGTGAAAAAAACACTGATACAAGCACAATGCTGCATCACTATATTTTATTTTTCACAACTCTGTCTAACTTTCTAAAAAAAAATAAACTGAAGATATCAGAAATTACTAAACTAAAAAATAAGCAAAAAATAAAAATAAGCAAAATTACTAAACTGTATTTTTACTTGTTTGTCTGACTTACACTTCTTTGTAATGACATAAATATGTTTGTCATCAACATATCTTTGCCATTTATTCTATTTCTATTATTCTATTGTTGACCCTTTTCAGCCAACCAATCATGTATTAAATGGACTGGGATTTGTCGCCCTGGACAATTTAGAATCACCAATTAACCTCAAGCCAGAGAACCCAGAGAGAACCCACGCTGCACAGGAAGAACATGCAAACTCCACACAGAAAGATCCCAGGTGTCCTCACCAGGACATGAACTGGTGACCTCACTGCGAGGCAACGATGCTAACCACCGAGTCGCCTTGCAGTCCAAAAGAAAACAGGGAGTGAAAAATACATTGTACAATACATTTAAGTCTAAAAATAATGGTTCCACATGGGACTGGACCCCAGTCTTGGGGATTAAAAGTCTGAGTTGCACTCCAATCTCCAATTCTTCCAACCTCCTAATGCTGACTTGGTGGCTCTTTGAAAGTGGAGATGTTACTGTAATGCTCTCACTGTTATCTTACTGGGAGAAAATAATCAATTTTCAAATGTAATTGAGAATGCAGTTTAGCTGTATAGGAACGCAGTTCTTTGGAGATAAAGTTGGAGAGAAAATAGTACATGTGGAGTGTCTTTTCAGATCTGCAATTACTGTCGAGCCATGTGTTGCTCTTGTTTCTTGTCTTTCTTGTCTCTTGAGCAAAGAAACTCAACATGAGCACAGGGCATCTATTCAGTTTTCCCGCAATGTAGCAAAGCGATGATGGAAAAGGAAGTGATGCTCCCACTGCCATAAATGTTCAGCTGTGTAACACAAGCAGAGTAAGTGTTATTTGCACAGCATGCATTGAAAGGACTGTCATTTTGCAACATTTTTGCTTCTACATCATACATTGGGAATCCATGGAGCCAGGACTTACTTGGCCACAAATTGATTGCCTTGCTAAAACTGAAAAGACCACCAGGGATTTGAATAAGCATATTTTACACTAACAAGAACATTTCACCATCAAAAGCTCGATTCCCTAATACACCTTACATTGCATTTGGCTCATGTGCTCACAAACACACACACACACACACA